AGCATATTAGCACAAAACAACTTTCTCCGAAATCCGTTGTTCTAACGGAAACAAATACTTTAACCTTAGAAACATATTTTTGACAGTACTCAATTTGAAACGGAAATAGACTGCATGAGAAAATTGCGACATATTTCCCAAATTTAAAAATATGTACCTACTTTGCGACAGTCAATTAATCATAATATGATTTGAAAACAAGATTGAGTAAAACTGAGTCCGGTTTATGACAGTTTTTTTTAATTTAGCAAAAAAATAAATATACGACTGTTGTGGAATTGTGAATTAAACCGAAAAACTGAAAATAGCTTTTATTTTTAAACATACAACATAAAGAGAAATACAATTTTCACTTTATTGTAAAGTATCGAGCTAATTCAAACCAAATCTTATTTTTAAGTCTTATGAACTAGATATAAGCAATAACACCAAAATATTTGATAATTCTTTAGTAATTAATAAAATATCATAGTGCGAACGAACCAAGGTAGCTCCAAAAAGATGACGTCTCGATATTCTGCGGCATCGACATTTTTTTTGTTATTGGCGCCGTTTTTATTACGCTTTCCTAATAACGATGGCCGATCGATAGCTTCATACTTTATGTTAATTCGCAAGAATGAAGGCAGAGTCTGTTTTGTTTTTGTTGCGGCACTCTACATTAATTAGGACTGGCAATGCGGGATCGATACAGGCTGCAGATACCTATACAGGCGGGTCCATGTACTAGAAGGACCCTACGCCAAGGCGGTGTGCCGGATTCGTCGCCAAGGGACTTTTTCGGGCTCATACCGAGAAAAGGATTCTTCCAAATTGTCTGTGATATGTAGCGATATTAAAGCGGAATTGAAAAAAAAATCATTTTATATAGTATTGCGTTCTGTTGACCCTGAATTGACGAAATATCTGGTGCATATACGGGGTGATCCTTAAATGTATATAATATATTCTTAAGTATTATTGGAAATTACAAATAATTACAGAGACTTCAATTTGTAGAAAATTCGTCGATTGTAAGGCAGTTATTGGGAATTAATGTAATACAGAAAGTAAATTTTTGATGACGAAATAATGCGATGTGGCCAGATTTACCCTAGCCCAAAAAGATACAGGACCTCATTTTCTATCTATTTATTCGCTATTATTCCATTATACAGGATGGCCAAATGAAAATGAAACAGAGCCATTTTCAGGAACTGCGTCAAGATTGTAGAAAAACGCTTAGACCCGTCGATTTTAGATTAAAGGGGGACATTCTTTGCTGGTATTTTTGACTCCGCCACTTAATGCTATACACAGACAATGAACGTAAAATTAGTGGATTCCAAATTATTTTCTAGTATTATTTGGAAGCGTTGGTTGGTAGTTTATTTAATTGTGTTTTTGAAAATTAAACACTATGGTTTATTCCATTGCGGAAAGGGTAGATATCATTTCGCTTTACTTTATGAACAATAAATGTGCGAATAGAACAAATCAGCTATTTAATGAACAACATCAAGATCGACATGCCAGGAGGAAGTATGTTCTAGAGTTAGTAAAAAAATTTCAAGAGACAGGGAACGTAGCCAATAAAAAACGAGAAATTGAAAAATCTGTAGTTAATGAAGCTAGTGAAGTTGCAGTTTTAGGACAAGTTCATCTTGGTCCTACATTAAGTACGAGGCAGCTGGCATCTGTGTCTGGGATCAATCGAACTAGCATACAAACCATTTTTAATAAATTCCATCCATACAAAATACATTTAGTCCAGAAACTTCATGAGGATGATTATGACCGGCGTTTGCAATTTTGCGAAAAAATGAGTGAGCGAGCACAGTTCCTTTTTAACATCTGTTTTTCTGATGAATCCAGTTTTTTTCTTGAACGGGACGGTAAATCGTCACAATTGCCGCTATTGGTCCAATTCAAACCCAAGAGTTTTTCACGAGGTGCATACACAGCAACCGGAAAAATTAAATGTATGGGCTGGAATTTTCGGTGACCGGCTGGTGGGTCCTTTTTTTCTACCTGGTAATTTGACTGGCCAAATGTATTTGCAATTACTGGAAGACGCTATTGACCCTGCCTTGACTGATATTATTGAAAATGTTCCAGAGTATGATGAAGATCATTTGATTTTTCAACAGGACGGTGCTCCTCCGCATTATGCGTTAATTGTCCGTCAGTATTTGGACCAACGTTTTCTACGGAATTGGATTGGGAGAAGAGGCAGCATTGAGTGGCCTCCACGATCACCGGATTTATCGCCCCTTGATTTCTTTTTGTGGGGATACCTAAAAAGTAAAATCTATAAAACACAGCCAGCGTCGCTGGAAGATTTGCGTCAAAGAATCGTCGACGAATGCCGTCGAATCACTCCGGAAATGCTTCGGAATGTGCGCGAACGTTTCGAACAAAATCTTTATTCTTGTATGGAAGCGGGCGGTCATCAGTTTGAACATTTAATCAACTAAGTAGTAAGTAAGCAACTAAACATAATTTAAATTTTAAAATGTAAATTTTTTTCAAAGTATTGGGCGGAATTATAAAATTTAAAGTCTGTTGTAAAGAGAATTGTAAGAGCTTTCAAAAGAAATATTACTCAACCCCCAATGCCATTTAAATATTTTGGGGTGATGCTTACCCTTGCTTGGGGGTGAAAGTGGCGGAGTCAAAAATACCAGCAAAGAATGTCCCCCTTTAATCCAAAATCAATGGGTCTGAGCGTTTTTCTACAATCTTGACGTAGTTCCTGAAAATGGCTATGTTTCGTTTTCAGTTGGCCAGCCTGTATATCATTTAAGAGGTTTAAATATGTATGGTAAATTTAATACAACATAAATCATACATATTTTGCAAAATTTTACAAAAAAAATTGTATGTTCTACGCTGTAAACTGTTTAAAATATTATGCATTTAAGATTTGCCCTGTACTTTAACCAAACTCCTGCTACTGTATTGAAAATTTAATTTCATTCTATATTTTTAGGAGTTATGTTCATTAGAATTATGCAACAATTTTCCCTTATCCTTATCGTCCACCCTATCGTGTAATAGCGATAAAAACACATCGCATTCATTAAAGCGTGCTGGAAATTACTGAAACTGCCCATCCGAACCCTTTCACTTCGTTTATCAGCGTCTGTTTATTGACTGAACCGAAAGTTAACGAAACATAGTTTTATTTTGAAACAATATTTAACTCGCATTTTAATGGGGTGAATAATGGAACTGGGTATAATAGAAAAGTTTCCAGCAAAAACAAACTTCCAAACTATTTGAATGGCAGGTTGCAAACAATATTCACAAAGTAGAAGCTGGTGTAATTTTTCTGCTTTATTGGGTTGTTATAACAACGATATTCAAAGGGAAATTCCATCCCGCGTTAGCTTTAATTTTAGATCCGACATTCTTCTTGTGACACTCATAATTAATAGCTATTAAATTACACTTTCTCACACAATTTTATGTAAAATTACACTCCAGATCATTGGTTGTTTTGGTTGCAAATTTGCACAATTTTCATCAATGTAGAGAATCATAAATTAAGTGTGTTTTCTCGCTGTATAAGAAATGCACATTTTTGGGTTTAAACAATTCAGATACACCACTGTTATTTTCCTCTTGCCAACACGACTACGGTTATTTTTGGATTATATACGACACCAGTCTATAAATCATTTGAAGAATTGAATAAGCTTTGATCAAGGCGTGCTGCTTTGTTAAGTACCAGGAATAAATCGATTAGAAAACATTATATCGGCGGGACTTTCTTACGCATATTTTGCGAATGAATTTTCGTGGAATTAAGCGAAAATTAATGGAACCATTAGTTATCTTCTATTGTGGTAAATAAATTTGTTTCCGTTGAAAGTTCGTTTACGGTAGCCAGCTGTGAAGATTGCTTTTCTACTGCAATTGTTCTGTGGTTCCATCAGAAGTAAGAGCTTATTTTTAGAAAGTGAAAGATATGATGGGAGAAGACGAACTAGATAAACGATTTAGAGCTATCGGCTTGATATGAAAGCTTTTAGTTTAATAATACTACACATTTCCACGTTGTCTTTCTGCGTACTCTTGAAATAGTTATTGGAAAGTTTTGTACAAAAATAATCCGATTAACATAACTAGAGGATGTTGATATTGTTTTCGATACATTTTTTAATGTTACTTCGTCTAGATTTCCGTTAAAAATAACCTGGTTAACATAATTTAGTGATATTGCTTTCCGACTTGTTTTGATGTCTTGGATTGGAGCGACCTACTTGGCATAATTGTGAAATACTGACACATTTGTCACATGTTTTATCGTCAAAGTTACATTTTGCCTCTTCTCTATTTCAGAAATAAACTTCTGAATGGTTTAGAAATAATTATTTCTCCGACGTTTTGAATAGAATTAAATTGGTCGATATTATTAAGAATACTAAGAGTTCTTTGTGTACATATTTTACTATCCATTTTAAACAATAATATTCGGGGTATTTTGATATAATTTTTATAAACTTTGGTAACTAAATGTAATTTCTAGAAAAGGAACAGTTCCAACCGAACTGTTCTAATTAAAATGATTCAAAGGAATAACTCCAAAGAACGGCTGTACAGTTCCAAAGAAGCGGTTTCCAAGGAACGGTTCCAATGAACTGATTCCATTAATTCGGAACTCTTCCTTGAAAATCCCAGTTATTTTCATCAGTAGAACACGATAATGATGTTCCTGATCTTATTATGAACAGCTAGTCCAAAAATCGTAGCTGTCTTCAATATTAATTAATATTTTTAAGGAATATTTTGCAAGTATGTATATAAATAATTTAAACAACAAATTCCACGACTTGATATACATACGTTAACGAGGTTTTGACAATTTGGCGTTATAATTTTGACGATTTTTTGATCAAAATTTTATTTATATCTACTTTCTACAGTCAAAGTTTGTAAAAAGCTGTGGAGATACCCTTGCATGCAATGAATGGCTTATTAAGAAAACATTTTACTATTTACCGATTTTGTTTCAGGTTTTTCTTAAAGTGTGCGTCGTCAAAATGGAAGTAATGACGGAATGAAACAGGTCTTCGCCTTCCTCCTTCTGCTGACGTCTGTTCTCGCTGAAAACCCCTCCCAGAATGCCCACTGTCAGAGTAGATTTCTTTCTAACACAGTCTCTCCAGCCAGACTGACCACCGACGTGTCCAGCCTCGCTAGGGGCATCGCTAGTAAAATCGGCCAGAACCACAACATCTCCACCATCTCCAGAGAGCTGCTGTCCGACCACCGAGACGTTTTAGCGGTGATTCTAGTAACGAAGCAGGACTCGGCTCTGGCATTAAACATTAGCGGTAGGCTGAAGATTTTCCCGAACAGGACCGTGGAGACTGATATTTTTTGGAGGTCTTTCAATTTAACCGATAACGGTTGGGGCAGGCCGTTCAAGGACTGCAATTTCCTACGTACGTGGTTGTACAGCTATTTTTTTAAGTCCGCCGGCTATGGGGTAGGTCTGCTCATCGGAATCGACTTGAACCAGTGCGATCGGACGTTGAGTGAGATCTACAATGGGACTCATAGGTGCGATCTGGAAACTACCGAGGTAATTGTTAGTTTTGTTTTCAATCAGGTCGTATTTAAGTTTTCTAAACACAGTACGGGGTGTCTGAAACTTGATAGTATGGGCCTACTGTGAGGATACAAAAAATTAAAATAAAATTTGGGACACGTGGTCCATTTTCAATCGAAAGTATTATCTTTGGAATTTGACAGAAACTACTAATGACGTCATCAATTATATTTTTCCAGAAACATACCCAAATTTTTTTCCTGTTAAAAAGCTCTCTTTTTTAAAAGTTATAAGCAATTTCGTCCCAGAGGCTCAAAAGAAATACCACCTAAAAATCACATTTACGCATAGCGGTAGAAGGATCAAGTAGTCGTTGGAAAATAATTGATTGTTCGTTGTTTAAAGTCTACTTAAATAAGCATTTATAAATCCAAAATAGCCGAAGTTTATAAAACCATTTTATAAAAGCTGCGCATACAATATTTATTCCACTAATTGGTGTTCTGTCGTTGCATTCTTACAGCATTTGTAAAATATACTATAAAACCTTTATACAGAAAACATTGTCTTATAAAAAAAATTTGCTGATATAGTTGTCTCCAAAGAAAAGGTTTATACATGTTTTATAAAAGCTATTTTTCCCAACTTGAAAGCGATGAATGTTGTATTAATGTTTCTAATATACAGTGCAACAAAACTTTTTAACTTTATACTTAATTATGCGTTTCTATACTAAATCGTTTTATTAATAATAAAAATGAAAGCTTTGTGCTATTGCCCATTGTCGGCAATATAAGAAAGGTAATCAAGAGTTAATGTTTACCAATATACACAATAAAATTAAATATGTATCTAGAAAATAAAAAACTACTTGCAACGAAAATTTTATTGATGAAATATATCATGATACCTTTAAAAAAAACTAAGCGCCTTTAAAATTAAGCAGATTTAGCAATCGTCTGTAATAATTTTTGAAAAATAATGTCACAATATTCATTTCAATAAAAAAATAAAAAATATGTACATATAACAAATTACATATTAAATATAATTCAATATACATGCATAAAACTAATTATTTCATGATACAAATATTTTTCTTTTTGACGTAATTCTGGTGTACAATATAGCTGACATCTTGTCCTAAGCATGTTTGAAAAAATATGGCTGCTAGGAGGATACTTCTACCACAGTAACTATAAATCTGTTATAAAATAATTAAGATTTTAAATATTTTATATAGTATTTTATAGAGTAATTTGCTATCTACTGTCAGTTTAAAAATTCTGCGTAAACTGCTTCCTGCTACAATTCCAATGGCGTCAACAGAGCAGATAATAAAGAAATTTGGCAGGTTTCTTTGAAATAATAAAGGGCTTATTTGAACGTAATAATATGATTAAAATTAATAATTCCAGTATCTTCCTGAAGCGTAACTAATAGTATCCTAGGACATAACGCATTAGATATTTAAATATTGGGTATTAGGTAGTAGATATTCAAATTTTAGAAAACAACATGCAGTTTTATGGTTGTAATAATGTATTAACACTAAAACTCTCTAATTCACAGATTTTTTTAGATTAGGGACAATATCTCCATATATATTTTTATGCCTTCGAAAGCTTTACTATATAGTAGTTTTATAAGTACAATATATATTGCTGCATCTCCCAAAAATAGCTTTTTAGTTGAGAAGAAACTACTAACTATTCTGCTTACAGCTGTAATAGAACCCTTTTATAGAATATTTTTTAAAGCTTGTGATATTATTTAACTTAAAAAGCTAAAATTATTTATAAGTTAATCATATAATCTATTTAAATGATAATGTTATACAACATTAATAGTGCAAGCGATATGCTGCATTAATGCTTTAAAAATTTACCGGCAAGTGTTTATAAGATTATAAAATACAAGGAAGCAGCAGAAGTTTCATTTATCACATTTATAAGACTCTAACAAAGCCTTTATAAAATTGTATAATTTTACTATTAGAATATTCTAACAGCTTTTTTATATTCCAAAATTGCTATAGGAGCAAATTAACACGTTATTAAGGCATTAAAAATCTAAAAAGATACACAAAGAAGGGTGGAGATTGGATTGTCTTGAAATGAGAGGTCATATAGAGAATAGATTTTAATATGTATGTAGAATGAAAGCGTTTGCCTCATTTAAGTTTAGTTATTGTTATCATCACCTTTTGTTTTATACTGTATTAAAGAATTATCGAGTTTAATCCTTTTATTTATTCTTAATGACATTTATGCACCTTAAACAACGAACATTCAATTATTTTCCAACGATTACTTGACCCTTCCACCGCTAATATGATTTTTAAGTGGTATTTCTTTTGAGACTCTTTAGGGCGATATCGCTTATAACTTTTATACGAGAAGTAATACAGAAAAATTTCTCTATTATAAGTTTATTAGAAAAAAGAGAGTTTTTAACAGGAAAAAATTTGGGTATGTTACTGGAAAAAATATAATTGATGACGTCATTAGTCGTTTTTGTCAAATCTCAAAGATAATACTTTCTATCGAAATTGGAACTTACCTCATCCCAATTTGAGGTACCCTGTACAAATAAAAAAAATAATGTTAATAAAAATACTAGAGAGAATAACATATAATGATGCCAAGTTTAGTGCCATTAGATTAGGCGGTATCTGTTTTGTTTTTTGTGAATGGTATATCCACGGAGATTTTTGGCTTTTTGGCTTTAAAATATCACTAGAAATGAATATTTTTATATGCGCATAAAAATAAACGTGGGCTTAACTTTTGGCGGCACAAAATTCGAAAAATGTCATATTTTTCTTCCTATTTAATTATGTATCTTTTCAATAGTTGATTTTAGGCGAAAATAGAAAAGGAAAAAAATGTTTGTAAATAAATTTTACAAACTATGACTAGTTACAAATCAAATGAATCATGATTATTATTGTAAAAATTGAAAAAATCGGCAAAAATGGGGTTAAAAACCTTACTTTTTAGGGAATTTTTTTGGGGTCTTTAAATTGCGTATAAGACCTTCATACTTGTCTCAATAAAAGTTCATGTTATGTAGAATCATCACACAAAATTTCATCAAAATCGGTTTGATAGATTTTGCATAATAATTTTGCAATCCATATTTTGAAAAAAAATTTGCAAATTTTCAAAATTTTGCACAGCAAAAACCAAGACCCTTAGAAACTTGAAAATTTAATCACATATAGAAGGACTCTCAAGCCTTCAAACGCTCTTTGAAAAATTAAAATCCATCAATTAGGAGAGCTCTGGCGCTTGTTTAAACATTGGTTGAATTTTTGTACTTATAAACAATTAGAATACCTTTGCAAATATTCAATCAAATCAAATTTTTTAAAGCAGGTTTTAAAAGTTATTGGAAAGACGCTTCTTTAAAAAAAAACAGATCGATTGGTCATTTTCACTAAATGTACTGGGACAACCGGGCTAATTTTTCGAAAAATACCTTTGGTATTCCGAGCACTTACCAGGTCTAAGTTTGCAATACTTTTCTTCATTGGCAACCTACTTTAAAACGTGTTTAAAGTTATTTATGCAAGCGAGAAATTCAAGAAAATCGTACAGGTGGTGGTGGTGGGGGAAGCAAAGAGCGCGGCCACTTCGGCCTGCTCGAAATTGAATCGACGAGTTCAAAACCGCGACGCGCTTAAAAATTTTTTATATCTCAGCTTCTAGAGGTCTGATTTTGATGATATTTTTAAATCGATGTCTCGCGATTTAAAAAAACAATTAGTGTATTTTCAAATGCATATCGTTAATAATTATTGGTCTTTCAACAGTCCGATAATTATTTACCTTTAATTCCTTTAATTATCAACTTTATTTTTTTATTGCATCAAAGGTAAGTGCATAAACTTATATACTGTTTATCAATGATCAAAAACAAATGTATTTAAATATTCTAAAATTGTTTAAACAACAATTATTTTCAAAATATGTCGAAAATTAGTAATTAATTTAATCATCATTCCTTTTGTGATTAAACTGTAATTTAAATATTATTTACTGTTTATAATATAAGCAATTGAGAAATTCACTCATTATATTACAAAAGTACAAAATTATAGTACAAAAATTCGACCAATGTTTAAACAAGCGCCAGAGCTCTCCTAATTGACGGATTCGAATTTTTCAAAAATCGTTTGAAAGCTTGAGAGTCCTTGGTTTTTGCTGTGCAAAATTTTGAAAATTTGCAATTTTTTTTTCAAAATCTGGATTGCAAAATTATTATGCAAAATCTATCGAACCGATTTTGGTGAAATTTTGTGTGATGATTCTACATAACATGAACTTTTCTTGAGCCAAGTATGAAGGTCCTATATCCAATTTAAAGACCCCAAAAAAATTCCCTAAAGAGTAATGTTTTTTAACTCAATTTTTGGCGATTTTTTCGATTTTTACAATAATAATCATGATTCATTCGATTTGTTGCTAGTCATATTTTGTAAAATTTAATTACAAACATTTTTTCCTCTTCCATTTTCGCTCAAAATCAACTCTTGAAAAGATACATAATTAAATAGGAAGAAAAATAATGACATTTTTCCAATTTTTTTAACATATTGTGCCGCCAAAAGTTAAGCCCACGTTTCTTTTTATGCGCATAGAAAAATTTTCATTTCTAGCGATATTTTAAAGCCAAAAATCTCCGTGGATATACGATTCACCCAAATATGGACTCTTTGAAACAGGTACCGTCTGGACTACATGGTTATAAAGCACTTAGATATGCAGTACTAGTTCTTATGTTTGTAATAATTTGCCTTTTTTCCGAAAGTTGCTATACTTTTCTTTAGAATACAATACTTTTGATTTACAAAAGCCACAGATTCTAAAATTTGTCCGATATGATAATGGTACCGAAGAAAACAATTTTCTCGTAAAATTCTCCACACCATATTTTTGTTGCCATATTCCATAGTACCAAAAAAAAACATCCCTTTTAGGCATTATTACGCGATTTCATTGCAGGACGCGCATATTTCTCATGCCCGC